TGACCGCTTTGTGGCCATCTGTCATCCCCTGCACTACACAATCATCATGAAACCCGAGCTCTGTGTCTTCTTGGTTCTTATGTCTTGGGTCATCATTTTCTGGGTCTCTCTGCTTCATATTCTACTGATGATCCGGCTGAACTTCTGTAGAGGCACTGAAATTCCACATTTCTTCTGTGAACTGGCTCAGATTATCAAATTGGCCTGCTCTAATACCTTCATCAATAACATCTTCTTGTATGTGATGACTGCCCTGCTGGGTGTGTTTCCCTTCACAGGGATCCTCTTCTCTTACTCTCAGATTGTCTCCTCCTTAATGAGGATGTCCTCTGCTGGGAGCAGGTATAAGGCATTTTCTACCTGTGTGTCTCATCTCTTAGTGGTCTCCTTGTTCTATGGGACAGGCCTTGGGGTCTACCTCAGTTCTGTTGTAACCCATTCTTTCCAGGCAAGCTCTATTGCCTCAGCGATGTACACTGTGGTCACACCCATGCTGAACCCTTTCATATACAGCCTAAGGAATAAGGATGTGAAGGGAGCCCTGGGAAGGCTTCTCTGTAGAGCAGGGTGTTTTCCATGTTGATGGTCACTGGTCTCATGGCTATATGGGCCTCGTGATCCCCAAAGCCAAATATCATGAATTTAAATATCCTGATTTTTTTTTTCTTCCTAAAAGACATGCATCATTTCTTCCGATCCCAAAGCACCTATGACTTTGCTTTCTACTTGTCATTGGATCATTTTTCCTCAACTCTTTCCTCAGTAAATCCTTTTGACTCTTCTTTCTTGTATGCTGTCCATAGAAGTTCTTTGTTTGGTCAGCTTTCTTAGAGTCTTTTCTGAAAATTCCAACCTTAAATTTGTTGCATTGGTTTTGTCATGTTAATTGCTGACATAGTTTCCCCAAAGGTTAATCTCTCAAGAATTTATACACTTCCCTTTAATTTGGTTATCTGTGTGTTTTTCTCTGAAAGAAATAAAATTAAAATCATACAACACTCATAACCAAGTGCTCGTCGCATGTCAACTGTACTCATTGTTTTACACACATGATTTCATTTAACCATGACACCATTGCTTTGAGATATATTCTCATTCACCCCATTTTTCAGAGGAAGAATCTGAGATTAAGTTGCATTCAAATATGGCAATCTATCATTGAATTAATAATCCTATATTCTCTATCCTACTTTTCATAAGAAAAATGATGTAGTTTTCAACTTCAAGGGTGGGAATCTAGATTTGATAGATGGTTTTTTCACATGTTTCATAGTAATATACTGTATCAGATAGTCTAAGATGTTGATTCATTCTTTGTGGTCCTTCCCGACCTCTTTTCTTCCTTCCTTTCTCCTTTCTTCTTCTTTACTTTCTCACTTTCCTTATTTTAGTTTACCTTTATGCCTCATCATTGTAGTTTTAAGATAGACTCCCCAAGGTCTGAAAACATGTAGTAATGAATACAATGGAATATGAGATTTTCCCTCTCTTGGCTTAATTTTCTGGGACTCTCTGGAATTGTCATCAGGAATGGTAGTTGCTCACTTGTGGAATGCATTCAGAAGTTCATTTTTTGAGATGAATATTGGTAGAATTGAGTCTGTCCAGTGAAAGATGGAGTAGTAGATGCTGTCAATGCCTCTCCCACGTTCACTGGGATCATCTCACCATCTCTATTACACACCAGTCTGACTTCCAATGGACAACATCAGCTGGAACCTACTTTGCCCAGAAGTGACTGGGACTTATGTATTTCCACAGGCAGCTTTCACTGAGAGGTATAAGATATACTACCTTACCTGGGATAATTCTGAGGTATGAGTTTAGGACATTTTCCAAAATTTCCCCACAGGGTGAAAACCCTGCTCACTCACTATGGTAAAAACCCATTGCCATCGACTCCATTCCGACTCATAGCAACCCTATAGGACAGGGTAGAACTGCCCTATAGGATTTCCAAGGAGTGGATGGTGGATTCAAATTGCCAACCTTTTGGTTAGCAACCTAAGCTCTTAACCACTGTGCCACCAGGGCTCCCTTGCTATGGTAGCTGACTTAATGTAAGCTTTATTGGATGTATTTTCTTCCCTGTGTCACTTCTCCTCTCTCCCATCCATATTCCTTGCTCCTTTGAGTAAATTGCTTGCACTTGAATCCTTTTTGCAGTATCTGCTTCTTTGGGAACCAAAAATTGAGACAGTTGTTAAAGACTGTGAGGGATATTAAGGGAGTCATGAAAGGAACTAGGGATTTTGAGGCCGAAACAAAACTAAAAAAAGAAGAAACAAATTTTCCGAAAAATCAATTTGTTAGTGAGAAAAGTCTTGTTTGATACGGCTTCAATTCACGTTGATTCCATCAAGTTTAACCAAATGTGTATTTATTATCTACTATGTACAAATTCCACCCACATGTCTGTCAGTTTGTCTTACTGTGGGGCTTGCATGTTGCTGTGATGCTAGAAGCTATGCCACTGGCATTCAGATATCAGCAGGGTCATACATGGCAGACAGGTTTCAGCTGATCTTCTAGACTAAGACAGACTAGGAAGAAGGACCTGGTAGTCTACTTCTGAAAAGAATTAGCCAGTGACAAGCTTATGAATAACAGCAGAATATTGTCTGATGTAGTGCCGGAAGATGAGACCCTCAGGGTGGAAGGCACTCAAAAGATGACTGGGAAAGAGATGCCTCCTCAAAGTAGAGTCAACCTTAATGACTTGGATGGAGTTGAGCTTTCTGGACCTTCATTTGGTGATGTGGCACGACTCAAAATGAGAAGAAATAGCTGCAAACATCCATTGATAATCAGAACATGGAATGTACGAAGTATGCATCTAAGAAAACTGGAAATCGTCAAAAATGAAATGGAATGCATAAACATCAATATCCTACACATTAAGTGAGCTGAAATAAGCTGATGTTGCCCATTTTGATTTGGACAATCATATGGTCTACTATGCTGGAAATGACAACTTGAAGAGGAGTGGCATTGCTTTCATCGTCAAAAAGAACATTTCAAGATCTATCATGAAGTACAATGCTGTCAGTGATAGGATAATATACATACGCCTACAAGGAGGACCAGTTAATATGACTATGATTCAAATTTATGCACCAACCACTAAAGCCAAAGATGAAGAAACTGAAGACTTTTACCAGAGTCTGCAGTCTGAAATTGATAGAACATGAAATCAGGATGCACTGATAATTACTGGTGATTGGAATGTGACAGTTGGAAATGAAGAAGAAGGACCAGTAGTTGGAAAATATGACCTAGGTGGTAGATATGATGCTGGAGATTGCATGACAGAATTTTGCAAGACCAATGAGTTCTTCATACCATATACCTTTTTTCACCAACATAAATGATGACTATACACATGGACCTCACTAGATTGAATACACAGGAATCAAACTGACTACATCTGTGGAAAGAGACAATGGAAAAGCTCAATATTATCAGCCAGAATAAGGCCAGGGGCTGACTGCAGAACAGACCATCAGTTGCTCATATGCAAGTTCAAGTTGAAACTGAAGAAAATTAGAACAAGTCCACGGGAGCCAAAGCATGACCTTGAGTATATCCCACCTCAATTTAGAGACCATCTCAAGAACAGATTTGATGCATTGAACACTAATGACCAAAGACCAGAAGCGTTGTGGAATGACATCAAGAACATCATACATGAAGAAAGCAAGAGGTTATTAAAAAGACAGGAAAGAAAGAAAATACCAAAATGGATGTCAGAAGAGACTCTGAAACTTGTTCTTGAATGTCAAGTAGCTAAAGCAAAAGGAAGAAATGATGAAGTAAAAAAACTGAACAAAAGATTTCAAAGCCTGGCTCCAGAAGACAAAGTATTATAATGACATGTGCAAAGAGCTGGAGATAGAAAACCAAAGGGGAAGAACACACTCAGCATTTCCTAAGATGAAAGAACTGAACAAAAAATTCAAGCCTTGAGTTGCAATAGTGAAGGATTCTATTGGGAAAATATTAAACGATGAAGGGAGCATCAAAAGAAGATAGAAGGAATACCCAGAGTCCTTATACCAAAAAGAATTGGACAATGTTCAACCATTTCAAGAGGCAGTATATGATCAGGAACTGATGATACTGACGGAAGAAGTTCAAGCTGCACTGAAGGCATTGGTGAAAAATAAGGCTCCAGGAACTGACGGATTATCAATTGAGATGTTTCAACAAATGGATGCAGTGGTGGAAGTGCTTAGTCGTCTATGCCAAGAAATTTGGGAGACAGTTAACTGGCCAACTGACTAGAAGTGATCCATATTTATGCCTATTGCCAAGAAAGTTGATCCAACCGAATGTGGAAATTAGTGAACAATATCATTAATATTACACGCAAGTAAAATTTTGCTGAGAATCATTCAAAATCAGATACAGCAGTATATTGACAGGGGACTGCCAGATTCAGGCAAGATTCAGAAGAGGACGTGGAACCAGGAATATCATTGCTGATGTCAGATGCATCCTGGCTGAAAGCGGAGAATACCAGAAAGATGTTCAACTGTGTTTTATTGACTATGCAAAGGCATTCGATCGTGTGGATCATAACAAATTACGGATAACATTACAAAGAATGGGAATTCCAGAACACTTAATTGTGCTCATGAGGAACCTGTAGATAGATCAAGAGGCCGTTGTTCAGACAGAACAAGGGGACATTGTATGGATTAAAGTTAAGAAAGGTGTGCCTCATGTTGTATCCTTTCACCATACCTGTTCAGTCTGTATGCTGAAAAAATAATCCGAGAAGCTGGACTATATGAAGAAGAACGGGGCATCAGGATTGGAGGAGGACTCATTAACAACCTGTGTTATGCAGATGACATAACCTTGCTAGCTTAAAATGAAGAGGACTTTGAGCACTTACTGATCAGGAGCAAAGACCACAGCCTTCAGTATGGATTACACCTCAACATAAAGAAAACAGAAATCCTCACAACCGGACCGATAAGCAACATCATGATAAACGGAGAAAAGATCAAAGTTGTCAAGGATTTCATTTTACTTGGATCCACAGTCAACACCTATGGGAGCAGCAGTCAAGAAATCAAAAGACGCTTTGCTTTGGGCAAATCTGCTGCAAAAGACCTCTTTAAAGTGTTGAAAAGCAAAGATGTCACCTTGAAGGCTAAGGTGCGCCTATCCCAAGCCATGGTGTTTTTAATTGCATCATATGCATGTGTAAGCTGGACAATGAATAAGGAAGACCGAAGAATTGACACCTTTAAATTGTGGTTTTGGCGAAGAATATTGAACATACCATCGACAGCCCAAAGAACGAACAATTCTGTCTTTGGAGAAGTACAACCAGAACGTGTCTTGTAAGCAAGAATAGCGAGACTACGACTTACATGTTTTGGACATGTTGTTAGGAGGGACCAGTCTCTGGAGAAGGACATCATGCTTGGTAAAGTACAGGGTCAGCGAAAAAGAGGAAGACCCTCAACAAGATGGACTGACATTGTGGCTGCAACAATAAGCTCAAGCATAACAATGACTGTGAGCATGGCGCTGCATCAGGCACTCTTTCGTTCTGTAGTACATAGGGTT